GCGCCTCGTTGTGTGGTGGGTGTCGGTCCCCACGGACTCACTTGGTGGCCCCGCAAGGCTTGCCACTGGCTGAGTCAGGTCCGTCTTGCCCCGTGTCACGCGGCGGGTGCTGCAAAGAGAGAGCACCGTGGGTCTCAGGTTTTCTCCCCTCTGCTGCACATCTCGCTTGCAGCTTCCAAACTTTTCCGAGCATGACCCCATTTGCAGCCCGATTTCTTCAGCATGGCCCCTCACTCCCAACCCGCAGCAACCCATCCTCGGATGTGAACACCCCGCTGATGTTGCCATCCCATTTGGGGTCACAACCCACAGTTTGGGGACCACTGTCCCAGGCCTTAAATACCAAAATCAAGCCAGACCCCTTCTCCCGCCCCCCCCAATCAATTTAAAGTTTAGGACAGCTAGGTCTGAGACAGTGTTTAAGGTCTAGGACAGCTAAACCCCAAGGCTTTGGGGCCTGGGGCTTGTATGTAGGATACCTTTCTGGATTTGGGGAGTGTCTGAAGCCCCAGACGGATGGGTTTGGGAGGGAGGAGCCACACAGATTTATGGACTGAGCTCTGATCAGTCAAACGTTGGAACTTGACTATTGGGCTTTGCACAACTGAATTGGAACTGATTAGTCCTTGAACAAGATAACAAAGAATTAAGGTCTAAGAAGTTCTGTATCCCTAACTCCCATGCTCAATAGCTCTTGATGCCCCTTTACTCCAAGAATGCGTCCAATCCCTTTTTGAATCTAGTGGAGCTGCCAGTTTTCTCAGTGTCTGGCAGCAATGAGTTCCACACTTTAATTCCACACTGTGTGAACAAGAACTTACTTTTGTTAGTTTTAAAACTGGCTACCTACTAGTTTCATTCATTTCATAGTTTAACATGTGTTGGGGGTGGGGGGGAGGAGGAAGAAGGAACCCCTCCGTGCCAGTGCACCTTTTGCCAGCCAGATAAGGAACAGCGTTTGGGGGCTAGAAGGATTGTGGTCACATGCAGCTTCCTCCCACCAGGGAGAAAGGACTCAGGGGAGGAAGTGGCTTTGAGACTCTCCCTAGGTGGGAACATCCCGGCGGGGGCAAAGCCAGTTTGATTTCTGCAATGTTTCTGTGCTCCTGGAATCACAGCTCAGGAGTGTCTTCCCCATTCCCCCCCACCCCCAGGTACAAGGAGGGTAAGAGTGACCCACTGGCCCTGGACCAGTCTCTATTCCTTCCTAGTTCTTGGTCCCATCCCAGGCCATTTCCTTTATCAGAATGATTGGATGTGTGTGGGGAATTTCCCCAGGGACATAGGAATCATTTCGTCCCCCTGAGATGAAGAGCACTCCCTGGAGATGCTGCCAGCCGTCGTTCAATGGCTTGAACTTTGGAACGGCTGGACCTTTGAATTGAAGCCTATGGGCCCACAGGCATTTAAACCCCCAGTCTAATGAGGGTCCCCTCAGTTTGGTAGGCAAGAGATCATAATTTCCCTATCAGTGGGATTTTATTTCTGCATGACTTCGCAGGGATCCATGTAGCACACAACTTGTTTGGATAAAATCCTTTAAAGAGTGAAAAGCCAATACAATGGGGGTGGGGAGAATTCAACTGGCCTGGTTTTGAAGTAGCTGAGTGTTTTTTTTCACCCGTGCACACCAGTTTGGGTCTAAGCTGCTGAAGCTTCCCCTATGGCTATTCCTGAGGCAACTATATCATCATCATAATAGTGTTTTACAAGCATGAAGTGACCTTCATAAGGCAACACATGGGAGGTTTAGGGGGGAGGGCGAAGGGGAAAAAAATCCAGAACATGTTCTTATTTCTCCATTCCCCTCCCACTCTTAACAATGACCAGTCCCATTCCCAGGGCAGAGAAATTCACATGACTTGCCCAAGGCCCATAGGAGGAGTTCATTTCAGAGCCAAACGTCCCTAGTGTTATGGTCTGTGTTCAGTGTGTCATGCCCAGAATATCTCAGCACTGCCAACTCCAAGTGTTCAAACATTGTGTGTAAAGCCAAAAAAAAGATAATCATGAGACTGGCTTAAAAAAATATGGGATTTTTTTATCGGCTTTTAGGTAGCAGTTGGTTTGTGTTTTCCAGCTTCTCTCTGCAACCACATGTTCTAGCAACTTACTTGAAAAACAAATGCAGACTGCCACTCATGTCTCCAGGAACTGAGGCTTTTTTTTAAAGTATTGCGCAATTTACAATACAATTGCAAGAGTGGGCAACACAGGCACCCATTCCACTGTTTTATTTCAAATAAGGCTTTTCTTTTCTCCCCACCCCGGGCTGCTTCTGTCTTTGAGACTGTGTTTTAATTTGCACAGCCATCAGGACGCAAGTACCATTTTACACCCTTTGCAACTCTCTCAGCTGGAGAAGCAAACTGTGTTTAGTGTGCTGAGCCACATGTGGTGTATGTACTTTAAGCCTGTCCATTTTAGAAAAGTAGTTCTGCAAAGCCAGGTGTGCCCTGCTCAGGACTGCCTGATGCTTCAGTGACAGATGGGGCTGGCATGCAGGGAACAGACAGGTTGGTTATGCAAGGATGGTTATCTGGTGAGTGTCCTTACAGTGTGAGGATCTGCCTGTAGTAGAAAACAGCACTGGCTCAACTTCATTACTTGGAAAATCAGAAATACAAGCAATCAGTGGGCATGTCTGCATGTGCATTAATGTACCATAGTTACTGTACATTAAATTTAGTACTTATATAACCAAGTACTAAACCAATAAGCAGGAACTGGCACTACTGTGCAATAGCACTGATGCGCAGCTTTTTAGTGATGCTAACTGAGCAGTAGCCTAACACTACTGCTCAGTAGCGTATGAGCATGATTTTTGCTGACACGTTACTGTGCAGTAGTATTAGACTACTGCACATTTAGTGTCTGGTGTAGATGTGCCCAGTATACAACCAGAGACCACTGGTTTTGTTCTGTTTTTATGCACAGGCCAACAACCTGGTTTCTGACTTGGATTTCTTTAGGCTAACACAATACAAACAATTAACAATTGCAACAGCCACTCATCCAAGGGTGGTCAAACCAGCTGAAGTGCATCTATCTATATCAAAGGACTGCAGCCTTTAACCAAGATCATTTTTCTTCAGTTCAGCCGGTTTGTTTTTCTAGTAAAATAAGGCCCAGCCCCACCAGACAAGAGACCAAAAGAGAAGCCAAGGCACGCAGGTGTGGGGCTGAGCCTTGGAACCATTGTACAAGCCTGCTACACCTGGGACACCTAATTCTTCCTCTGACTTGGACTTGGTGCTCCTGTTAGTGAAGGCTCAAATCAAGTGTAGACCTGGACCTGGTCCGAGGAGCGCTAGGAGCTGGGAGTCTCCCTGCAACCAGCCCCTCATGCCAAGCATGTCACTGTGACGCCCAGCACAAGGACCTTCCTGGAGCAGTTCCTGAAGGAAGCCGTCCGAAACAAGTACACCGGCGACCTGAGGGCCAAGCCTGACCAGGGCAAGGTCTTTGACATCACCTCAAAGTGAGAGTCTAGCAACCACTTCATGCCCAGCAGGAGCTTCACACGCTTCGCGGACTGGTGCTTCCTCCACTGCGCCCGCCTCAACTGCCTGCCTCTGAACGGGGCCGTCTGCTTCAGCAACCAGGACAAGAGGTGCCGACAGTGCAGCTACTGGGTAGAGACCCTCCCCCATGTGCTGTCCAGCTGTAGGCTGCACGCCAGAGCCTGGCAGCTCTGCCACAACGCTGTCCAGGACTGCCTGGTGAGGGCCATCCCGGCCACAGCGGGGAGATCTCTGTGAACCGCACCATCCCAGGCTGAGAGCCAGATGCAACCCAACATCGTGATAACCAAGAAAAAGAGGCCAAGAAGGTCGTGATTATGGACGTAACCCTCCCCTTCAAGAACCAGCACCAAGCCTTCACCGACGCCCGGGTTCACAAGTGGGAGAAGTACGCCCCACTGGCCGACATCCTGAGGGGCAGCAGCTACAATGTGACGGTCAACACGCTCATCGTGGGAATGCTCGGAGCGTGGGACCCCAGCAACGAGAGCATCCTGCATGCTTGCCGTGTCTCCTGCCACTACGCCAAGCTGATACACTGCCTCATGGTGTCCAACACCATCAGCTGGTCCCGTGACATCTACGTGGA